GTGTCACTGGCCCTCATATGTGGGATCCGAACCGGGGCCCTCTGGCATCCCAAGCGAGTTCTTAACCATCGCGCCACTCGGCCGGCCCAACAAACTATCTTTTAAAACAAAGTGCCCATCCTTGTTTCTAGGGCTGTTCAAACAGTTGCACAGTTGACCCTTAGACAACATGGGTTTGGCCGACATAGGTCTACTTCTATGCAGATTTTTTTTCAATCAATACGCATAGTACTGTAAATGTATTTTCTCTTCCTTATGATTTTCTTGAAAACGTTTTTCTCTAGCTTACTTTATATTGTAAGAATACAGTATATAATACATATAACATACAAAATACGTGCTAATCAACTGTTTATGTTATCGGTAAGGCCAACAGTCGGCTATGAGGAATAGGGTGAAGAAATGAAATGGAGTCACTATAGTCAAGCTGCTGAATTACTAAAATCAAATAGGTTGAGGTATGAGGAAACAATTGTATTCTTATGTTAACCGCCTGGAACTTAAACTTTTGAACTTTCAAGTCCAGTGTCAATGCCTGGATGTACATCAACCTCCAGATAACCCTCTGTAACCCCTGAGGAACTAAGGAAAGATAGTTCACTTATTCAGATGAACTGGCATTCATTATTCAGACCATCAGTCATCTAGAACAGGGGTCAGCAAACTTTTGAGATGCAAGAGCCCCCAGGGGTCAGCAAACTGCAGCTCACAAGTGTGTGGCTCTGAAGTAAAATTGAAAATGAAAATAAAACTACCATAGTTTCACCTACAAAATTTTCAAAGGATATTATTCACATAATGGTGATTATGTAAAAATATATTTATGGCTCTCGAATAATTTTTAAATTGTTGTGAGGGGCAGGATTGGCTCTTCCAGGGATCGGCCAACTTTTGAGATGGAACGTTGTACCCAAAGAGCCACATGTGGCTCGCGAGCCACAGTTTGTGGACCCCTGATCTACAGGATCATCTCTGACCAATCCAGAGGCTAAGACAGGACCTATTAGTCTCAAGAATGTGACATTAGTGTAACAATTCTGAACTGTTCTCTCTTATTGAGAACACTTCTAGGTTTTGCCTAGCTATGTTCCAGTTTGCAAGGTTTAAGACCCATGAATAAATCTTTTTCACTTATTGTATTTATAGCAAAGCCTCCAGATTCTTTTTGAGTTCATTCAACAGCGATTGGTACTTACGATTAGGGGGAGTCAAAATTATACACAAATTTTCAATTGTGTGGGGGCATTGGTGCCTCTAACTCTCACGTTGTTCAAGCGCCAACTGCAGGTAGAGCTCTGAACCCTCAGCTAAAAAGGTAGCGAAACACTTCCTTTATGGAAATTTTCATTTTTAAATAACATATAACTTGAAAGGTGAATGTTTCTTCAAACACAACTTTTGTAAACTGGATTTATAAAAAGTTTCAATATTCTTTAGAAATTCTTAGTCAAAAAAGGTTACTAAGTTCACAGATTAAATAACCAGTTGTTTAAAGATTTACTTTCAAGTCAACCAAAATTTTGCTCATGCTTATTTTAGCAACAAATACATCAATAAAAATTACCTTCTCATAATCAGTTGAGAGGTCAAACTTCTTTTGTATTATTTTCCTTAAAATATCTGGGGAAAAAAAAGCCACAAAATAATAGCAAGATTATTTTTTCAGTAAAAAATATAAAATGTATATTTAGAAGATAAAGGTCTATATATGTTCACAAATTACCTTTATATAGCATTCTTAGAATTATTCTTATTTCTTAATGTAGGTAAATAATTGAGCTAATGAGGCTCTAAAGCAAAGACTGGAGGACAAATATTTCTGACTATTTTGCCAGGGGCAGAATTAGAGGGTTACCATTTTTAAGAATTTTTAGTTTCTCACAATACACCTTAATATAGACCAACAAGCCACACATACTTTGTTAATAGTCACTGGTAAAAATGTCACACTGAAATTGCTAATTCTTAATTATTTGGAACCACAAATGTAATGTATTCTTTAATAAATTCACATTTATATAATATTTTACAAATGAAAGGAGCCTTACATTTAACCTAACCCAAGAGTTCTGAATCGCATGAGACATCTCTCCCTTCCCACCTCTAAACAGTGCATGAAACCCTGAAATGTCATACAAAATTGGACTTTTTCGTGCCTGTTCACTTGGGACATTTTCAAATTCTCACATAGGTTAAGAGCCACTGCCCATTCTGACTCCCTAATCTACTAATGATATGGCATAAGGAGTGCCCAGACAGGGAGAACGACTTGTCCATATTTATTATATAAATGTTAATTTTGTTCATTGCCACTTTTTTTTTCTGCCAAAAGTGCTCTAATTTTATGTTGTCTTGTTTTAAAGGCTCTTTAAAAAGTCTTACCACAGTTTTATAGTCAGGTCATTTTAATTAGTCTGTTGCTTTTTTTCTACCTGATGTTTTCTTATATCTTTAACCAGATGCAACAAGACAGAATTATTCAAATGAAGCCTAAAATGAAGTTATAGACTTAGAAGCATTATGGTGTTCAGCATTAAAATTGGAGATTAAAATGTATAGAACATGTTTTTCTTTAGGAACAATCTTTAGAGAGTGAATCATTTTTTCCCCCTAAATGTCAGGTTAAATTTGTTATTTGCACTCAGAACTCTTATTAACAAAACTCACACACACACACACACACACACACACACACACACACACACACACACACACACAGAGTGAGCCCTCACAGATACTTAAAGTGATTGCTGGGAAATGTGATTAAGAGTGTAAGCAGTGTTAAGTGTTTCTCTGTGGAGTCACCCATAGTGTTCCCCCCTTTGACAGTCGGTGGCAACACCTTAAACTCACATGGTGTGGAGGGTCCCTGTACTAAGAATGACATGAGCTGTTAATGTATGTATTAAATCAACATTGATCAAAATGAAAGAGAGTATTCAGATTTTCACCAAAAGTATTAGTTTTAGAAGTAGACTAAAATGATATTCAAGTTCGATTTCGAGGCATAGAAACTAGGCTTGTAAATGTGTAACTTTAATAAATTAAATATTAATTAGAACACAGCTCTGTGTCTTTCCAGGCATGAAAGACTTTCCACAGGCTCTTAAAAGTAAATCTGACCACTTGCCCCTGTCTAGACCAAATTCCCGAGGGGACAAGGGGCAGGTAGGCAAGCCCACTGGAACACCTGACAAGTCAAGATAAAGCACAAACCTAGACAGTTCAAAGAACGTGATTTCTTGGATGTGCTGGTATTACATGGGGTGTGGAAGAGCAAGGCGCATTCTGCCCTAAGGAAAGTGTTGAGGGCTGTGCTTGGTATATGATACGCTCACATGAAAATGTTCCCTTCTTTCACCTCCTCTCTGGTACCGTGCACCCTTCAGTGCTCTGTCCTTCCCAGGCCTTCTGCTTGTGGCAGAGTGTGAGTGCTCAGCCCAACCCATGTCACCCCGTTTTCTTTGGCCCACTGCCTGATTCCACAGTGCCCTTGCAGGTAGGTGAGACTACGTGACGTGAGTACTGGCCAGTGGCATGTGGGCAGGTGTGTGTGCACAACACTTCCAGCCATGGCTTCTGAAACCACCCAGAAGACCATTCTGCTTGGCCTCTTTACCCATCTCCCACCCAAATATGGGGGATCCAATGGAGAATTGTGAAGCCCAAAGGAATGGGAGAACCATTGGACAGAGCAAGCCCAAGGGTCCAGACCTCTCTACTCCACCACCTACTCCTACATTGGACTGAGCAGTGAGAGATAAGCACTTTCACTGAAATTCTGGCTTGTTTATCATAGAAAATGGTGACACCCTCACTGAAAAAGCTTTCACCAGTTGAGACGCCCAATGTTTTCCTGCTACATGCACCCTCTATCTGTAGCCTATTCTACCAGCTTTGACCAAACAAAGGTTTACCTCATTTTTCACAGGAGAGGATATACAGATACATATCACACAGCAGACTGAGACTGGGTGAAGCCAATAGGTTGGCACTCATGTAAACTGAGATTTTAAAAGCTATTATCTTCTTAAAAGATTGAAATTTCTGTATTCATACAAGAGAATGCTTGAAAAGGCATTTAAACCCAGAAAAATCACTGCCAAATGCAATGCAGTATAGCTCAGATAAAACTCATCCTGCCTGCTCTTATTCATGGGTCTACAAAGCCCTGGTAGTTATCCACGGGCCTGCCTTAAATGTCCTTTAGCCTTTCAAAAGCTTCACTACCAACTGAATTTTCCTAATCTACAAAACACATGTTCATAACCAGTTTAAACCACGGATTCAGGCATGTCTCTGCTGCCAAAATATTTAAAGAAAATGCTCTCACATTACAGTGTTATTCTGGGAAATGTGCATCAAAAAGGGATTAAGACTAAATTGGCTTGAGATCTTGGTACCCTCTCCAAGGGTTACGTGCATAGAATGCCATTAAAATGGGTGGGGAGTACCAGCTTCCAGCTCCAGCTGCTCTTTGGAGGAGAACGAAGATTTATATCAAGACACAAAGTTTGTTGGTGAAAATATAAACATTTACGTGATTTGTATGTCGTCCCCAGCATTTCTCCCAGAGCTTCCAAATGGAAGGGATCTTAGATAACAAACAGAGGTAATTCATGATAGCCAAATCTGGTCTTCCCTAATTGACCTGGGTTTACTGGGTTTTCTTTTCGTGTTTTAGAAATTCCTGATTCACAGGAATATATCTCGTTAATTCAAACTAATTCAGAAATGTCTGGTTATTTGGATAATTTGATTTAGTTTACCTTTCATCAAGAAAAATGTTTAAGGAGCCAACTCATTTGCATGACAATGTTTAAATCCGCATTGAATCAGCATCTTAAGTGTGATCAGTTCTGATACCTGAGAGGTTAATTGAAAAAGAAAAGCAGGGAATCATGCCTTAGACTTAAGGCATATAAATCCACATCTATTTGCTCATCATTTGATGAGAAGCCGAGGTCCTTTTTTTGGGTATGAGTTCTCTGGCTGGAATGGAGGTGAGTTGTTAGCATCTATGGTAAAAGAAGCGCCTCACTAATTTAAAGGCTGACTTTGCCAACCACCCCATATCCAAGCCATAAGATTAGGGTTGATGAAAATGGCATCATGGCTCACAAAATTATACCATCTACACATAGCACGAGTATTTCAGAGAAAGCACTCGGTGATCATAGACTCTGTCTCAAGATATGAGGGGACCTGGCTTATTTGATTCTTCAGTGATTCGAATGGGGATAGGCCTAGGCTTCTCTCTACCTATACACTCCTCCCTATCCTAACCCCCAAACATTAGGATAACTGCCTGTGTCAGTCAGGGCTCGCCAAAGAAACAGGACCTATAAGAAATAGAGATGGAGATAAAGCTAGAGCTTGAGCTAGAGATAAGATAGAAATACGTATAGAAAGACTAATTTTAAGGGAATTGTAGGGGATGAAATCTTTACAGAAGCCTGGCAGGTTGGAAACTCAGGCAGGAGGAGATGCTACAGCCTTGAGGTAGAATTTCTTCTTCTTCCAGAAATCTCAGTTTTTGCTCTTCAAATCTTCAATTGATTGGATGATGCCCATCCACGCTATTGAAAGTAATCTTCAGTTAAAGTCAACTAATTGGAGGTGTTAACCACATCTACAAAATTCTTTCACTGCAACACCTAGGTTAGCGTTTCATTAACTCACTGGGAACTGTAGCCTGGCTAAGTGGACACAGAAAACTAACCTTAACTCTGGCCAAGCCAGTTCTGCTACCCATAGAATGGTGATGCCCAGTAAGTGTGTTGGAGCAGAGCACATCGGAGCAGCCCTGTCACATACAGATCAGACAGACTCTCCACCATTAATGGCCACTCCTGCCAATGTGAGTCCCTGCCAAAGCAAAGGGTCACAACCGTGACCCAGTTAGTACAAGGGCAGGGACCACATGTCGTCTCGGATGACAGCTAACCTTGAGAGATGGCCCTTAGCCACTCCCCAAAACTGACTTATGCTTGGTGTGCGCTGAATTAAAAAGCAGGCAAATAAACGCCTTTTGGAAAGATTCCCATTGAAAATGACAGAACTAAATTAGTGTGTTAGTTGCAAGGTTAAGTGTTGCTTCTCTGAAGAATGCACTTAGGAAGCCCATCTTCCAGCAGCCCTGTTTGGTTAAATGGGTTCGCTCTCCTTTGTCACTGGGATAAACACCATCTGCCTACTCCTTGGTTGTTTTGGGTGAGGCTGAGTGCAAAGAAGTGATTTTGGGGACCCAAAGGATGGAACTGCCTCTGACTTTGGAGTTTACCAAATCCTCTGAGTAGCATATTTTCTGCTGGAGTGGCTGCATGCACCTGTCTGAATTTAGTGATATGCATTTTTGCAACCACTTCATGCAGCAAACGTCCTGTACTCTTCAGTTTCAGGAAGCACTTCATGCTACCCTCCAAAGCCTCTGTCAACATGACTAAACTCTTTGGTTTGGTTTTCAGTGAAGGAATTGATGCTTCGGACATTTAGAAGCCAATCTGGGTTTATTAGAACTTACCAAATGTATTCCTGCTGCGTCCAAGGGTATAATCAAGTATTCCAGAGGGTGAGCCCCCTTTTCCTTTATTTAAAATACAATCTGGGGCCGGCTGAGT